TCCCTGTGGGTTAATGATTATTGATAAAACTATAATTTGGAAAATATCACTACTAGTGCTTTGTGTAAGTAAGTACTTAACACGTTGCTTGTAACTTTTTTTTTTTGTATTTGCCATTTTTTGCATTTTAACTACACGCTAATAAAGAAAAATGCATTAAAAAAAAGAATATTTGTGGGCTTACAGCTACCAGAATGCCAACATCTTTTGACTTCTCAAAAAAAAGAGAGGAATAAACTCCTGTGCAATGGTCTCTTGTTCCATTTAAACTTCATGCAGATTGCTCTCATACAGCACGCACCAGCCTTACAAGCAAAGAAGATTTTGCACATATGCTTGCTCTGTAACAGTGAAGTGGACTGCACTCCCTGCATCCTTTATTTTTTCCTCCTTACACTGAGGCAATCAACAGTAGCTTTCCATGAGAGCCATGCAAAAAAAAAAAAAAATCATTACTGGTGTTTTAACAAGTGCTCTATTTCCTGATCACCCTGGCATCCCGGCTTTAGTACTAATCAGTCTAGTTCAGACTGGATGTATTCATTCTCGGTGCAGGCTCAAATAATCACTGAGTTCATCCAACCAACAGGCTTGGAAAAACAGGCTGCCGTCTTTGAAGGTTGGGTGGAAACATTCAAAGTTAGAAGGGGAGAGAGACAGAGAAGCAATCATTTGTTCTCTCTATTCCAAATAAGATTTTAAGATGCCAAAAGCAGCAGGTGGTGTCTGAGTGATTTTTTGTTTAATAGAAATATATTGCTATTTTAGGAGCATTTATCTGTGCTCACAATGCTCACACAGAGACTATTTTAAAACTGTCTTTGTTCAATTTTGTATGCATCCTATTATGAGAAGTTAGCAGTATTTATATCCTACTGCTCATATCAAACATACTCCATTATTTTCCCACCAAATTGTCTTGGGAGGATATTTTTTTTAGCACTGGTTGGATTTGTTTATGGCACTAGCATGATGCACGTTAATGATACAGTCCTGTTACAAAGGTCTGTTCCCAAATGAAGGTTAAGCTGCAAAAGCAAACAGTCAATGGCCAGCTGACAGACAGAATTTGCTCTTGCAGGTAGAATGACCACTAGAAATTACATATAAACTTCTTGAACTGAAGGCAGGATCAAAACAAAATTCTTCAGAGAAAACAGTGCATTTTTGTTACTTCAGCTCCAATTGTACCTATTAGGCTGGACTGACGCTGTGCTCCCGAGGATGGTGAAATGCTGCCACTTGGGCGCGAACCACTCGACAGCAGAGAGTTCAGCAGAGAAACAACTTCCCATTTGAAAGTAATGCTGATCTTTTGGAATAAACACTCCAATAAATCCAAGCAAATACTAGCAAATTTACAGAAAATGTGTGCTAAGCCAGGAGCTTGATAGACAGCTAACCATTTCATTTTCAGCTTAGAGGTGCAGTTATCTGAATAGTACATAAGCTCATAGAACGTACACTCTGGTAATGTGAAAAATACAACCTTTCCGACACCCCTGCCAATATCATTTATCTGTCACAGTTTGCAGTGCTCTCAAACTTGCATCAAATAAAACATATCATCAGGACACTCAGCTATACTGTGAAAATACATGCAACCAGAGAGTCAAAGAAGAGAAAGGAAGGAAATGTGAGACCCTCTAGCTCTTATATTTCAATTTCAATAGTCATAAATCAGTTTTAACAATGTAAGTTACTGTCACAGGGTGCAGATCAAGCACTTCCTAATCTGAAATCCCTTACGCTCAGAGACAAAACTTCTTGTCCTGCTCCAGCATCATTCATTCTGCGGGGCATCTAAAAGGACTTGGAAACCACGGAGGGGAACTCAGCAGGGCAAAAACTGAACAAGTATATGCTGAAGCCCTCTCTGCCAAGCTTGAGGGCTAGTGGTATGCTGACTGGTCCTCACTACGAGGACTTGCAATGCTCTCATCTGTGAGTCACGTCCAAATTCCCTTCACATACCATTAGGCTAGTGTTCAGATACATAATTGATCTACACTAAGTGGCATGGTGGGCACCTCAAAAAAGACAGATGGAACAAAAATGGAAGTGTAGTGAACAGTGCACTGTCCCAACAAGACCTCCACAGCTGCTGACCTTGCCTTAGCCTGTTTTATGCTTCCTGGCCCTTGGATTACCTCAGCAATCCTTTAGTCTCAGGAAGAGGTGACATGAGGCAAAAGATGCCTCCTGTCCAAGGGAATGCAGGACTGTCAGTTCATATAATATGGACATTGGAAAGAGAAATGGAAAAAAACAATGATGTTAGCTTTGACTCATTTTAGACTTACTGTCCTATTAGATCCCCAAATCTCCTGGCATTAAAACATGCAGAACTTTGTGCTTTGTAGGTTTGAGAGCTACAGGTTTTGTGGTAGTAGCTCAGTGAGGTCTGAGGAGAGTCCTCCAAAAGGCTGAGACATAAACATGGTTTGCAGCCATATGTGCAGCCTGTGCAAAGTTTTTAGCAGGTGCAAGTCAGCGACCTTGTTCCTCTACAGCAATTGCATTGCTAGAAGCCAATGTGTAGAAATGCAGGTGGCAGGGAAGAGGCAAAAAGGACAGTGCCCTTGCATTAAAAAGGCACTTTTTTAGCATGTATGATTTTCATAAACCCAGGGGGAAAAATAACACTGATCACAAGGAAGAAAAAAGATATTTCTAGATGTTCATGAAGGGTGTAAAAGAAAGTAGTCTTCAGGGACCTTAAAAGAACTATGTTCACAGCACATCCTTAGGCACACACAGGCACTACTTTAAGAACAGTTTCTGTTGCTTAACAGACAAAGCACATTCTCCTCCCACCTCCTATCAGCCCTCCCTCCTCATTGGGGACTGAATTATCTGTAGTGTCTGGTCGCTATTTGCCTGCCAAAAAAAAAAAAAAGAAAAGAAAAAAAATCCATATGGTTCCCATCCTATGGGGGAATGTGCAAACTTCCACACAGAGTCTGCACAAGAGCGAGACCCTATTTGCACAGCAATAAACACCATTTGCTCATGCTTCATGCCTGCAGGCAGTACTGAAAAAGTCAGATTCATAAATAGTATCCTGGGGCTCACATAATGTAGGAGTATTACCAAGCGTTATCACAGCAGCAATTTTCCATTGCAATAAGCCACAGAGTCAGATGTTTGAGATGAAAAAGACCTATCTGAATATTGAGACCATTGGCCTGCAAATGCACAGTATAGTCCCCTAGATATCAGATATTAAACTGATACAGTACATTGCAATTTTAGTCAAATGGCCAAGAGGACTCTAGTCTCAGCAACATTTTAAATGAGAGTCTTTACAATCCAAGTACAAGAGTTATATTTTGTTCTGTGCATGAGTCCATTAAACCACTAAAATAATATTAATACCACAAATTGAAAAATCAATCACATATTACAACAGACACACTACACCCCAAAATAAAACCTGAGTACTTTTACAACTGCAACTCAGGAAAGCCTGATTATAAAACAAAAAGGCGCATAGATATTGGCATGGGAAAGACCTAATCTACTGCAGTGTGCTGTTACCTCTGCTGTAACTCACACTGCAGTGCTCTGGCACACTGTGGGCCTGATTCTCTGCTCCATTAGACCAGTTTTACACTGAGGTAACCCTGCTGGGTGCTTAAACAGAGTTACATGGGCCTAAAAACAATATAATGAAATGAAGAATCAACCCTCACAACTTAACAGACTCAGAAGAAAATTATCTATTCCTTTGTGGAGTAAAAGACTTGGCTATTTTTAGAGAAAGCCTCTCTCTCTGTTTTTGTTTTATTCCCACCGTAGATTTTCAAAGGAAATATGCAGTTATACCATAATAAAAATGATTGTACTACACCATAAGCAACGAGAATCCCTGCCTTTTCATCTGAAGAACACATAAGAGTCCAAATTCTTCCCAAGGTTTGGTTAAGCTCCAAACCAAATCCCAATACAATATAAACCTCTTGAGGAGTTTGCAATATGCACCTCACCTGAAACTTCCTCTTGGATGTGGTATCTTCACATATCTCTTCTCCAGCCCTGCTTCACTGATCTGCATGCTGCTGGGCACCAAGTGACTCTTGCTTATCACAGCATGGCAACAACTCCTCGTCAGCCACATATGATGGCAACACCTGCTCAACCTGACTGAACTAAGGCTGCTTCAGGTAGCCTTAGTTTCACAGATCTTTGGGTAAGGTTGCTCCACACAACTCTTAGCCTCTTTTTCCACCCTACTGTGGAGTATTAGGCAGCATCTTACCCAAGTGGGTCCATGAGCAACACAGCAGAGCTATAAGAATCAACATTGTGCTCACTCCCTTTGTGAAGAACAACTTGTTTCTTAACTCACATTTACTGAGCTTTCAGTTAACCTCTTTCACTTCATCCAGTAGCGTGAAAAATAGCCTGTAGCTCTCCCATACCATGGCCACATAGCTGCTATGATACACATCTACAGAACCGCTGAGCAACAAATCACATCTACGCATTCGACAAGCAAAGCATCAAGGTGCTCCCACACTTGGCTAAAATAAAAACTATGAGTCATATTTTTATTGTACTTGTAAGTAAAGAGCCTTATAAAAAATAGTAAAAATTTATAACTATAGGATATATAAATACTATCAAATGAATGCTTGGGGAGATAAAAAGAATCTAATCAGACAGTCCTGATGACCCTAAGGCGGCAGCATTTTTAAGATGCCACCAGAAGATGGAACAACGGCTGTGTAACTTTCTGTGGGCAAATCAATGTTTTCCACATAGTAATAGTTTCTTCTCATGATGTGCATGAAGTCAAAATCTAACCATAAGAACATTTTGAAGGAGATGATTTTGTCCAGATAAAACTGAAATTACTTGGATGATCTAGAAAAAAGAGGTACATCAAAGTGGTAATAAATTACTTGGATGATCTAGAAAAAAGAAGAGGTACATCAAAGTGGTAACTATCATTCATAGAGTAATAACACATGCTGTAATTTATTTCATACTTTACAAGTGAAAGAATATGTAAGAAGCTGCAGAGCTGAGATTTGCCATTGGATACTATTTCTTTTCCCAATGATCAGCGACAGCATGTTTAAACAACGGAGTGACCTGAACACCTGAGCAGTGCAGAACACTCTCTGATATAAATGATGTCCGGACCTCAGATAATTCTCATAATTTCAGAAAATCATTCTTCAACTGAAGTGATAATAATCTCCAAGGATCACTCAAACTACAATTTCCAAAGCATTCACGTAACTGACATACAGGAATTCCCTTGAAATAAAAGCCAGTTGTCTAAATGAAACACTAGTGGATTATGAACTAGTGATGGTTTTATTTATAGCCTATAATCTGTTGCCAGCTGAAAAGTGTGACAATAGTATGGGAGAAGGGATAGAGAAGGAAGATTTGTTTGGGCGGTCTGACCAGGGAACCAGAACAAGAAGGATTCTGAAAACAAGAGTCCTGAAGAAAAAATGTTCTTTTTTATTCTGAGTTGTTCGGACTTCTTCCACAACATGGGAATACAAGTCCCACAAAGACACTGCTTGTAAAAGGCAATTAAGTAAAATACGCTAACCATGATATTGATTTTTTGAAGTTACTGAGAATGTTAAGTGTTTTTGTTTTTTAAATGCTTCAAAAAGCAGTACTGTAACAAAACTTAAAAATAAACCCATTCTCCTCTATGCCAATACATTCTCCCCTTCACCTGGAAAACACAGATGAGACTATGTATGGAATTTGATAATCACATCAAACATCCCTCTCTGTCAAAAAGGGACTGTCAAGAAGTTCAGGGCTGAACCTCTTGCTTCTCTCTAAACTATTGTTAAGCTACCTGAAAGGATAGCTAGATATCATGCATCTCGTTTTTTAGCTCATGAAATAATTGGAAACGTAGTTATGAAGATAAATGGTGTGACTTCTCTGCTGAAGTAGAAAATAGTTCTAATTCTTTGTGTCTGTAAGCTCAAGGCAAGAAGTGAAAAAGCGTTGTTCAGAATTCTGCCCCTAAATCATATCTGCTCATGCACTAATTTAAGGCTTTCTCCCTGTTTGGCATTTCTATGCACACAATGCAATGGAAACTGCCCAACCAGCAGAGAGAACCCAGATTAAGTAACAGCTCTATTATCCAAAATATGCTTGAATCTTCAATAATCATTTTAACAAAAGCAGTCAGTGAAGGGAAACTTTACTGGTTTCCTTTTCATGACAGAGAAGGATAAAAAAAAAAAAAAAGACGACGATGACGACTAGCATTTGCCAAATAGAAATGGAAACTATTAGGAAAAACAACTTCCCATTGAAATGGATATTGCAAACAACAGGGCATAAAAAGAAAAGGGAAACTAGAAGAAGACTTGACTATATACCATTCCATGCTTTAGACAAAATATGACAGTGAATTTCCTTCTGAGTAAGTTTCACCACAGAAAGAGAAAACAGAAGATGGCATTCAAAGTAATTTTTTAAAAGGCATAAGAAAGCATGCATTCCTTACCCATTCTGTATAGCAGCTGTTGGATCATAAGTCAAAGCCATGCCAGCCTGCATATAGTTAGGGAAGAAAAACAGATTTTTTACTGTTACTGCAGAAAAAAAATGACATTAAACGTAGTCTAAGTCAATACAAATTCAAACTGAACAAAACCTAGATGGAGAACTGAAGTCCCTCAGGGAACCTCAGATGGCCCAGAGCAGCAGGGAGAGTTTGGTTAGCTTCCCCACCTAAGATATCCCTTAGAAAGGAGTCAGTTTAATATGTTGGTCATCATTACCCCATACCAACCTAGGCCAAACTGTATCTTTGTTGCCCCAGTATCAACCAATATCATCCAATAGCTCCACTGAATTCAGTGGATTTACATCAGACTATGCAGTTAAGTATAACACATCAGGGTCAAATCTTATTATTCTCAGTGACAGAAGTAATTGGCAAATACTCTAAAACCAGCTTCAGAGGAGTTACTTGGGAAGAAGTCTCATCTTTCCCTCAACGACCACAGCCCGTGCAACCCCAGCTGCCTCTGATTTCCCTGGGCTGTCACAGGTATTTATAGTTAATTCATATCTGTAAGGCAGTTAACAAAAACTGGGCTGTGAAGGAGAAAAGAGCAACCAAAGAAAAGCCTGCCCGAGTTTTTAAATGGGGCTTTTAAAATATTTTAGAAGTCTGGACAGCAAAAGAATTTGCTAATGGGCTTTTCAGAGCCTTTCAACTGCAGTTCACCATCTAGCAGATGGTGACCTCTGCGAAAAGATTTGGCAATGTCAAAACAGTATCTAGTTAACAACTGTTACCACCACCATTAGGAAGCACATCCACAGGTATAGCAAAAACGGCAGGGACAGAACAGAGATGGAGCCTGAATTTCCCACGAGTGCTCCTCTGTTCACACCAATGGCCCAAAGGTGACCAATGTGGCTGTGAGGAAGGTAGCAGCGCCTTCCCAAAAATCCACTTTGATATGCAAGATAGACAGTCTCTCCTCTCTCAAACATAACATTTGCTTTTGTCTTCCTTTTTTTTTTTTTTTTCCTTTCTGAAACGCTTTTCAATCTATAGCTCTAACAAGAGATCTGAAGGCTTCTTCATTGGCATGGGAGTGGGAAGCTAGAGGAGAGGGTCTCCTAGGGCTCAGGGTGCTCCTTCTGCTTCAGCTCTTCCAGAGACCTTTAGGAGCAGCTGAATACGGACATGGCACCTACCCACCCCAGGGCACCCACCCTATCCCTTTCTGCTTTTCCTACAGATCGCACGAGACAGAAGCAGCTGCTCTACCAACTGCGCGGCAGGGTCCATGCTCTTGATGTGAGCTCTTAATGCCCCTGGGCCCATCTACCGAAGTACTTTTAAATAAGGGCCTGCGCCCCCTTCCAGATGGCTGCTCACACAGGTCAGAGAAGCGTGGAGCTTGGCCTGCTCCCACAGCCCTGGTGACCAGCAGGTCCAGGGCACTGCTGAAAAGCCAGGCTGACCCAGCAGCTGCCCACTGATCTACGCAGATGCTGCCCAAGAAGCAAAAGTGATTTTTTTTGGTCCAGACAACAAAGTGGAGTGAATGCATTTAAAAAAAAAAAAGTATGTTTTTTAATTATGAAATCTGCATATTGTTCACATTATTCTTTTAAGCAAGATACAAGGGTATGTTTTTGCTTATTGAAACTGCCCTTGTTTTAATAAAATATGTAGCATCTCTCAGGCAAAGGACAGATCAGAAGATTTAGGCTAAAAACATACGATTACTTTTAAAATATATATGTTCATTTTATACAAAGAGCAACAAAAATGACTATTTCTGAGAGCTTGAAATGTTGAATAAACAAATTTAGGGTAAGCCGAGCCTTGCTAAGTTTGACCTAAACATTAGTTTAAATAATCAAAAAGGATGAACTACTTAGCTTGTCCTTATTTCCTTGTTTCCAGTCAAATATTTGGAAAAGTTGCAATATGTACAAATGGAAAAGTATACAGTTCACCCAAAAGACAGCCAATAAAAATTTAATATCAGAAATATTTCTGCTGCAATACATTTTAGAGAAAAAATATTGTTTTATTTGTCTTTATTTTTACTTTTCAACACCTGCAAAGTTTGTTATTCCTCTCTTTTTATATCCCTGTGCTGGTAAAGACAACTTAAACAGTATGTGCAAGGTCTAGAGGGTCTAGTTCTATTTTTTTTTTTAAGGCTCAAAATAAATTACGAGATTTTCTATAAATAAAGGTGTCAAAATTTTAACATCTCGTCACACATCTACTTGAGACTAAGTAAAAAAAATATAATCTCTTGGGAAAGGAGGGATCTTAGATTTCCAAATAAGAGTTTCTAGACCTAAGGGTCCTTAAAATTGCTTGGATCACAACTTGCTGTATCCCACACTCTTAGATTTCCAAATAAGAGTTTCTAGATCCTTAAAATTGCTTGGATCACAGCTTGCTGTATCCCACACGTCTGATGGGTTTGACTTGGGAAGAAAATTTCAGCAAGGAGAGAGTGGGGGTGTAAGAAAGGAGAAAATGAACAACCAATCACTTTCATTTTCTTTGACGTAAAAATGAAAGGACATTGAGGGTACAGAAGGGACAAATTTCAGAAGCTCTTTCACTGGAGCTCTAGCAATGAACAGTGTCCAGATGAGACACACAAATGTTCACTTATGACCATATCAGTTACCTTTCTCATCATCGATATTTGAGCAAGCTTTTACGACACAGACCTTCCTTCAGTTGGTCCTCAAATGCCCTAGATGTGTGCAGATACAGGCAGATAAACAGTACACATTCATTTCTTGGTATATTAACATCACATTCTTTACTTATTAGCAGCACTTGGAAGAGGAGTAGGGTGACCATTGATGAGGACTGCCATGCTCAAAATATTAACAGCTTCTCACCTACACTGAATATACAACTGTGGAGTGACCAGAATCTGTTCAAATATCTAAGCAGTGACCACTCTTAAATACCAGTTAGACTTGCCTGGCAGTGAAAGCTTCGTGTCAGACAAATATGAGACAGTGTGCAGCAATATGCGCATATGGTCCACCACCTACAGTTTGCCCAGCAATACTGCTAATATCCCCCAGTGCTGAATAGCCCTAAACAGCTGCTATTTCAAATAGCTGCTAAGAGAGGACTATTTACTTCTTTCTCATCAAGTTGTGTAATTCCTCCCTACAAAATTACACTGGCCTGAAGCCCAGGAGAGGCAACAGTTAGCCCGGACCAGTGAAAGATTTATGGTCTGAAGCATCCTCACTCATCAGGAACAAAAAACCATGAGCAATATTAACTTACTGGAAAATCATCTCCACTTTCTTCCATAATATACAAACAGGAATTCCAAAAATACCAAAAAGTGAGTATTAGGGTTGGCCTCAAGATATCCATGCTTTGGAGGTACAGCTTATTGAAACAACATTGCCATAAGCAAAGACAGGAATATAGCTGTCACTGTGTTTAATATGGTACTAACTATACTAAGGCGTTGCTTAATGCCTCAATAGCAGTCCTCAGCTGCATTGAAGTTTTTCTTCTTTTAAATCATTATTTTCCTTGTGTTTCAGTGAAAGGACAAGGTTTTCTTCCTCCTTCTGATAGGGATACTGCATGATGAATTGCCACCCAAAAGAGTGGTGCTGATGATGAAATACTGCTTCAGGAAAATATCCGTCACATAAGCTTTCTATTAAGGAATGACTGAACCATCAAATTTTTAATGTCACCTTACCAGGTAACAGGCATAAACTTGGCTACTAAATGAAAATTTGGCATCTCATCATTCCAATAGGCAGTGCTCTAAAGCAATCAATAAGAGGGATATCTGTCATCATTCCTGCACATAATAATAAATAAAGACTGTTCTCAATGATCAGTCAACTAATATGTCCAGAATGCCATAAGTGACACAGAAGTAAAATCAGCTCACTTAATATTTTTTTAAAAAAGAACATTTAAACTATGTGTGTATGTGTGCATATATGTGTGTGTGTTTATTTTTATTGACATATCTGAAAACAGGGCAAGGGAATAAATATTTTCACTGTTTTGGTACGGCAGTTTTCTAATTATTGAAACCAGTGAATGAGCAGATTCTAATGAAAGGAGTCTCAGTCTGCACCTTTTTTTTAATAAATTTAAACTTTTTTTTCCTTTAAAAGAGTAACAGGAAATATCAGAAAGCCTCTGGAAGGCAAGGAAAGACAGAAAGACAGAAAGACAGAAAGACAGACAGACAGACAGACAGAAAGACAGACAGACAGACAGAAAGAAAGAAAGAAAGAAAGAAAGAAAGAAAGAAAGAAAGAAAGAAAGAAAGAAAGAAAGAAAGAAAGAAAGAAAGAAAGAAAGAAAACTCTGAAAGAAAAATGTGAATACTTTTGTTCAAAATTTTCCATGGGCAAATGACAAGTATTTTTCCCCCTCTGTGTTATGTTTTGAACATAAATGAGAACACTTCCCTCATTAGAAAGGCTCTTAGACCATCACATTTGCATTGCTTATGTAAATTTGATTTGTAAATCTTTCAAAGAAATGATTAACTCATGGAATGATTATTAAAAAAATGATCACATCTTCAATATCATGTGAAATAAGATGGATTTGTTATTTCTCTTCCAAACCTCTCAACCCTTAGCAAGAACAACATTCATCAGAATAGCATTTGCCTTCTAATAAACACAAGTATCTAGAAATGACTAAGTCTTAGGTTCTATGATAACTCGTGCGTTGGTGGGAAGCATGAACAGCTCCTACCAGAGAAGCTTCACCAGGTGCCAGGGACCTTGTAGGAGTTCTGTAGTCTGGGTCTGAGGAGTCTGTCAAAAGCACCCAAGACAAGCACATGGGCTTTCATTTCAGTGGGTAGGAGAGGTGATCTCCCCTCAATGCCATGAGGTTTTCAAGAATGAGGTTCCCTGGGTTTCTCCTCCTTAATGAGAGATTCGGAAAAATAATGCTGCACACTGGGACTCCATGAATTACTGTGGTGAATCAGGGCAGGAGTTAAGACTTGAAATGCAGCCTCTTCTCCCCTTCTCTTCTGGCT